TCATTCTAGTGACCCATGAGTCCATTCTGTCTTCCATGCCTTCGTGGCATGTGGTGCTAGCTGAGTGTTGTGTGTGATGTTTGTAGTGCTCAGTACGGTGGCATCAAGCCTCCAGCTTCTTACTGTGTTGTGAACTCTGCACCCTGGGTCTTGAATCCAGAGGCTAGATCCACTAAGACAAATGACTAAATTTACCAGGCCAAACTTTCATAGGTCCTAGGGCTTCACATGTTATGGTCACAGATTCATGCATCACAAAAGGCATTCAAGAGAGCTATTCATACAGCCTACAAAACTGCCACACAAAATGGCATTATTAAAATGGAAATTTATGTATGCATATAAGGATTCTTTGAACCCCTAGGTTTACACAGCCTTGCCCAGATTTACATGAAGTAAAACAACACTAGGAAAAGAACACTGACAGTGATATGGCTAAGATTTAGGTGCAGCATGGTGACAAATGCATGGAAAGAGTGGTAAAAATAAATATAGAGGTGCTGGTACTCAGCTCTTCAGCCCATGAATGTTTTCCTAAACAACATGGCAGAGTTCCAGCAAAAGAGGCTGTGAGTAACACACTACAGAGGAACCAACAGCTCAGGGGGCATGGGCTGCTCCTGTGAGGTTGAAAACTGTGATTCAGACTCCTCAAGGGACTTCTGTAAAGAACTGAAAGGCTGGTCCCTGAGGCTGCCTGGTGAGGAGGCCCTGAGCCATTGGGTTCCTGGCTGTTTGTGACTCTCTCTACTGTCTCCCTCTCCCTTCTTTTCCTTTTCAGAGAGATACAAGAAAAAGGAGAAAAACTTTCAGAACTTTGGTTTTAAAATAAAACCAAAAGTACAGCCCTCGTACCTGTCCAACTTCTTTTCTTTCTCTTTGTGGTCTGACAGACTAGAATGGATTTATCATAAGCAGTTCCTGACCACAGAGATGCCAGACAGATGTCATGCCAGACAACACAAGTCACAAAAGGTACAATTATTTCTTGATTTTTTTTATTGGTTTAAGGATTTTTTTTTCTCCTCTGAATGTCAGTTAGTAATGTCCTACATATTTTTCCCATGCACTGAAAGGAAAAGCATTCAGTATCTTACGACTTTATTAAAGGACAACATGTAGAAGGATATTGTCTGAAATAAATGGAAGAAATATCACTCAGATTTCCATGGAAAAACAAACCAAAACAAAACCACAAAACCACCACCTTTCATAGCACTGATGCTATTAGCTTCACGTAGGGAAGGTGCAATACTAGAGAAAACACAAGGCCTCACAGACAGACTGGTTGCAATCAACACAGACATAACAGCATTATATATCTGGGGAGAATAAACTGAAGCAACACAATATATTACTGGATTTGAAATTATTCTTTATAACACGTGACATAAGATACATTCTTTAATTGCTCAGTATCAATATTGTAAGCTTAATAAGTGGAAAACCTAACAAGCTTAATAAGTGGAAAACCGTATAAAATATAGTATCAGGGAAAAATCACTCAATTTCAAGAAAAGAATGGACTAACTAATTTTGCCATAGTCCAGGTGACCATATAGTCACAGACAACAGTGTCAGTAGAATAGGTTTGAAGATATGGCGTGACCAAAAAGCTCACAGATCCAGAACTCTGTTCAAAGGTGGATAATAAGGAACAGTTAATCACTAACCAATCTCCTGTGAAGCATGACCAAACCTCAGGTACACAAAACTTCCCCTGCTGTTGGAGAATAATTGAACTAACAAACAATAGAATTATAGAATCATAGAATCATTAAGGTTGGAACAGACTTCCAAGATCATCTGGTCCAACCATCCCCCTACTGCCAATGTCACCCACTAAAACATGTCCCTAAGCTCCACATCCAGTCTTTCCTTAAACACCCCCAGGGACAATGACTCCACCACTTCCCTGGGCAACCCGTTCCAATGCCTGACTACTCTTTCTGAGAAGAAATGTCTCCTCATTCCCAACCTAAACCTCCCCTGGCACAACTTGAAGCCATTCCCTCTAGTCCTATCATTAGTTATCTGAAAGAAGAGGCCGACCCTCAGCTTCCCACACCTTCCTTTCCAGTAGATGTAGAGACCAAGAAGGTCTCCCCTGAGCCTCCTCTTCTCCAGACTAAACAACTCCAGTTCCCTCAGCTGCTTCTTCTAGGACTTGTGCTTCAGGTCCTTCACCAGCTCCATGGCCCTTCTCTGGACGTGCTTCAGAGCCTCGATGTCCTTCTTGTAGTGAGGGGCCCAAAACTGAACACAGTACTCGAGGTGCAGCCTCACCAGAGCAGAATACAGATGGACAATCACCTCCCTGGTCCTGCTGGCTACACTATTCCTGACACAACCCAGGATGCTGTTGGCCTTCCTGGCCACCTGGGCAAACTGCTGGCTTGCAGAGTGTGCAGATAAAGACATGGAGGTTAAAAAAGTGGCCAAAAAAAATTGCCAATAAAGAAAATATACTTTTCATATGAAAAGCATTTAATTAAAAAACAAAACAAAACAAAAAAATAAACATATTTACTGATAAGTTAAGTCCCTTCAACTAAAAGTAGACTACTTTATTTTTGTTACTGTTGTTATTGGGCTATTTCCAAAATGTTTGCCAAATTCTGGTTATGCAAAAAATCACCTGGTTTGGAAGGGCACAAGCACAGTACAGATCTTTGGGATTTGCAACACGGATTAATAGCATGATGGCTATTAATCCGTCAAATCCAGTTGCCTGATGTTGAGAGTGGATAACTCCTGAGGCTTTAGAAAAAAGTGGAAAAAATAAGAGCAGAACAAGCCACAAGGCTAGCTGTATAGTCCTCTACCTATTTGCTTTTTAAGATTCCTGAATGAAAGAAACCTGTTCAGCATTATGAAGCTTTCAGGGTAATTTAAAATTCATGGTGTCAGAATAAATATTCTGAAATATTCTGGAGTAAATACAAGTACAATGTTACAGAACAACAACAATAAAATTTACAAAAATAAAATTATGAATCATCTAATGCCCTGATGGCTAACATTATGAACCTTTTACTACAGAGATGGAAAAAAAAAAAAAAAGTAGAATTTTGGTCTTGCTATTTGCTTAGGTGTGTTCATGAAATAACACATATGCATATGTAAAACAGTGGTGTCCATTCAGAATTTACTGATACATCATGTCTTATTGTGAATATTTGATGGCTCTTATCACTTTTCAAAACAGATACATCTCCAAGAATACATGTACCTTTAATACATCAAATATTTGAACATCTTCAATAGCTACTTTTACATAATATGGCTAGAAAACAGAATACCTTCATAGAATCATAGAATGGCTTGGGTAGGAAGGGACCTTTAAGATCATCTAATGACAACCCCTGCATCATGCAGGGACACTAGATCACGTTACTCAAAGCCCCAAACAACCTGGCCTTGAACGTCTCCTGGGATGGGTCATCCACAACTTTTCTGGGCAACCTCTGCCAGGGCCTCACCACCCTCTGAGTGAAGAATTCAGCATACAAAAGCATAAGCTTCTCTCTCAAAATCTGACTATGTAAATTTGAGATGTTTAATTTTCTTTTTCAGGTTCTGAAGCATATTGAAAAGAGTACATATGTGTAGCATTAAATATGTCTATAAACAGTAGTAAGACTATTAATGCAAAACAAATGGCAAGATCAGAAGACACAGCATTTGTTTGTGGTTTTTCCAAACATTCACCCCAAATTCCTCCATGTAATCTTTTAATCACATTCTAAATAGACAATATACATTTTTTTTCCCCCCATAATCTAATCACACGGAAATATGCCTTTAATATTTTGGAATAGTGAAACTGAAGAATGTGCTCTAAACACACAGTGCTTAAAGCAACACATGTAAAAAAAAATAAAAAAAAGTAAATAAAGCACTGTGAAATCAAAACATTGTAGAGAGGAAACAAAGGACATGCTCAAATTTGTGTTTTTTTTTTTTTTTCTTTTTTCTTTTTTTTTCTTTCCATACAGAAGTGGAACATTATGATATTGTTGGTAAATAACTGTGTTATGATTCTTTCTTATCGTCATAGATCATAGTACTACTTGTATTTGAAATTATTTTCGTGTTCAAAGTTTCTTATTTCTGTACTATCGCATTGTTGGCTAGTCATCAGGGTAGTGATTTGAACCCAGACTGAAGGCTAAAACAACTCACAAAGTCATAGGCATACAACTTCTAACAATGTAAAAGGTTCTGTAGAATGAGACATATATAATATAACTGGGCAAGAAAAACAACATTATCTTTTAAAAAAATATTGTGGCAATCACATAAGTATCTTTTTATGAAACACTTAATCTTTATTTAGACAAAGTTCACCTTGCCTTTAATGGGAGATCTGCAGTGAAAGAATAATGTAGGAAACTACAACTGTGTAAACTTGGATTTTTTTTTTGCCTAAACTACACTGATTTTACTGCTCTACTTCTTTATAGTAATGTTTTCTGTTTTGCTACGAAAGAGGCACACACTAAAGTAGCAGAAGACTGCTAGCAAGATTTCATTACTTAGTATACAAGATATTTTATTAAATGAAAAATAAAAATTTGCACCAACTAAAATGAAGATTTCTGTGGGTATCACAGTTGAAAATGGTATTTCTCCCTGCAGTAACAGAAATGGGAACAATGGGAACAATCTTTAGTTACCTGTCTGATCAGTTACCCACTTGCCTGTTGCTCAGCAACTACTGTAGCACAGAACTATGGTTCTCAGACATACAGACATTCTCATTTTAATCTTGAAAGGGCAGATTGAAATTACTATGTGAGCAATAGGTTTCTGGTGAGATATTGTATTGCTTCAGTTTACATAGCTGCAGAAAGGAAGCCATATGACAGGAAAATCAAGTACTTTGAATCTGCAAAAGGTTCATTTTCCCTGCTCTCATCCCAACCTGTTTACTGATTGTGTACTTAAATATTGCTAGGTACTTGAGCCATAGTAATATAAGCAAACATGTCACTTACGTTCTTGAATCATCCCACAGCACACAGTATGGATTCAATGTGCCCTGAAAAGCAAACCAATAAACCCATTAGTTACTGGTATACAAGAAAACATGCTTGACCTAAACATTTATTTGGATCTCCTGCAAGTTTACTCTTCTGTTCTGATGAATTGATGTCACTGGAGTTGTGAAAGGTTAATTCTGCAGTTTTAAAAAGCACTTGAACCTCAGAATATCTGCTGTATTGTCTCTTAGGTAAGGTAAGGCAAACAAAGTTGTCCATTTGGTATATCCCAGTTGAAATGAAATATGAGATGAGAGTTAACCTGTTAAAAGACTACTTGAATGATCATTGCTGTGTTTACAAGCAGAATTTTAGGTCTCTGGGGGATATGGATGTTGAAACAGTAATGACTTCAAAAGTACTAAACAAATATTGGGCAATATGTCTAGAGTCTGGGACTTCACATTCAATACCCAAGTTCATTTGTCACTTGGGGCCTAAATCAGCAAAGCATTGTGTTCAAACTTTTTTTTTTTTTTTTTTTTTTTCTTTTTTTTCCTTGAACTTTACTGGGATACCAGTTCAAATCCCTTTGAAGTCAGTGGTAGATTTTTGAATTGATGTAGATCAGGATGGGAATCTAGGTTTAGTCATCATTAAGCTGTGGGTAATGTTTTAGGAAACTGAATTGTCCTTATTATTACTAATTTTTATTTTGCTGCCCATGAAGACTTGAGACAAAATAAAAATTCAAGTTTTGCCCTAAATCCTATAAATCTTCCTTTATCAAAACCCAGATTGATTTAGAAGTTCTTAACTAGCTAAAACCCACAAAATTATATTCCTGTTCATTATAAACATTAGATATTCCCAGAAGTCAGAACTATATAAATAAATATATATAAAAAATACAGAAAAATATATGTTTAATAAAATCACAAGTGCTTTGAAGAAATAGATGGGTTATGATATTTTCTTATGTTAATGTGAATGTAGTTCTCATGATAATGCGAATGTAGTTCTCTCATGAACACTGTTGGTAGAGTAAAAGTACAATTTTACAGATAAATCATACCTCACTATTTTATTCTGAAAAGTATATTATTTATAATAAAATAACATGACAAGTTTTAACTGTGAAGTTAAAATTTATTAAATATTTTAATTCAACTCTTCATCAAAGATGAAAAAGGTCCTTCTGAAAATGTCTCTATCAGAGGCATTTTAGGGAAATTTTCATCCTCTACTTCAGTATTTTGTTGACTACATTGAATTTTATGAGTACAGTATAGATATATAAAACCAGCACATACTTATGGCACTATACATTACTGTAGAAACAATAATAAAATTTGTTCCATTCCCTGAAGTATTTATAATATAAAGAAGAGGAGGGGGGAGGAGAACACAGGACAAAGCACCAAATAGTAGATATGTGAAGATTCAGACACCAGGTCCTGATCATTAGCTAAAAGCTTTCAGATACTTTGACAGAAAATGATACAGAAGAATAAGAATTAAGAAAAAATGAAATGATCATTCAGAATTAATTTTTATTTTATTTTATTTTATTTTATTTTATTTTATTTTATTTTATTTAGATCATGAATTTGTATCCTGAGTGAAGAAAATCTATTTGCAATTTGATATAGCTATAAGTATATTTTTACAAGTACTATTATAACTAAACTGTAGTAATAATATACTGCTTATTTGAGAATGGAGGCCTGAGGCCCAGTAGCAGGTATCATATAGTTCATTCTAGGCATATATATGTAGGTATGTATAAATAATACAAAAATACTTTCAGAGAAAAAAAAATGAGAGCAAAAGGGAAGTCCATTATGAAAACATCTCAAAAACAGAGGGAAATGTCATTACATAATAAAATGCAAACTTTGCTGCTGTCAATTCACACACTTCACTCTGCTTAAAATGTATTCAAATATATATATATATACATATACATAAAATGTATGTTTTGCTATTAAAGTTATTAAACAGAATGGTGGAAAACAGGATAAATATTGCACCACTTCTTTAAGAGGTTCTTCTACAAGGACTTGCTCTGCCAACCACGGAAGATTGCAAGGGCAAAACAGCCCCTCAGAATTTCTTCCTCTCTTGATAACCTGATCAAATGTCCTTCAAGCACTGCAAGGACCACAAGGAGCCTGTCTTCCTATTTTCTTCTTCTGCTGCTCTCTTTTACATGCTTCTTCTGGGTCTGGCCTCCTGACAATGTCTCACACCTCTGTTTTTGAGCTACCTCCACCAGCCGCCCTTTTCTGCTAAGGCAGTGATCTTTCATCACAGCTCTTGCCAGTTAATTACTTAGCTGAAGCTAAGGAACCATCTAATGTGTCCATTAAGTTTTATGACTGCTGCAGTATTGATTTATACACTTCAGAACAAGACTTGGATATATCAAAAATAGACATATGTATGTGAGTGTGTATGCATATGTATCTCTGCTTGGCATATAAAGCTGAACTTTTGAGATGTGATTGGCAACTTTGACAGCTACGCAGCACAATGCCAACAGTGTTTTGTAGCCAGGGTTTTCAGTTTTATTGAAAACTTGATGTTCTATGCTACTGCTGGCTTGTTACTTTAGAGTCCCTGGAGTAAAATAAAGTGCTAGCAGAAGGTGAGAGTTCATATTCTATCTGGAGCAAATAGAGCTTTTGTTTGAATTGTGCAGTTTTTTAAAAGATGACTTCAGGATCTCTTTGATCAAACTACTGGAGAAATGTGATCACATTCATATTTAGCGAATATCATCACATTCATATGTAGAGAACAATAATGTTTGCTAAATAATGCATTGCAACTCACTTTCTCACTATGCTCAACTATTTTAATTCATCTGCTAAACATAATATATTCTAAATAGCACATGGAATTATGATTTACACTTCCTCCCCCAAAATAATACTGTCTTTCTATTAATGTACTGGCTAATTTTGTTATAAAACAAAGCTATGATGGTAATTTTTTAATACATTAATATTCATATGCAATTTTAAATTAAAGATATTAACTCTTATTAAGTAACTGTGTTCATTGTATTTCATAATCTCTCATCAAAGTAATTTAGTCAGTGGAAAGGAAGGTGAATGAGCAAATGTGTAGGTATACTCCTATATAGGTACGCTCTAGAGGTTGCTTAAAAATTATTCATTAAATTCATTTGAAAACAAAATATTTTAAAGTGAAAAGCATTTCAAGAACAAAGATTTGAAAAGAACAAAAATTATAATAAGAAGAGACATTCCAAAAAAGCAGATGAAAGAAAATATCAATATTTTATGTTCTGTTTCATAATTAGTCTATTTAATTGACATCATGATTATTCAGTCATTAATACACAATGTTCAAACTCTAAGAATACAGTAATAATAGTTTTATTTTAATTTCTGTATGTGACATTCAAAGCTTGTTCCATTGTGATATTTTAATTAGATAAACTCTTGTTTTCAGCTAACAAAAGGTGACAAACACCCAAACCTACAAAACAATGTTTCTATGTATATACAATCTCATTATTTAAAAACCAAAGTCCCATCGTGGAGGTTATTCCTTGAATAGAAAAATCACTAAACATTTAAAGTAACTAAAATTGTAAAACTAGTTTTCCTTCTCAGACTTTCAAGACCAGAGTATGGTCTTGAAATGTCAGTGTGTCTGCCTATCCAACTACTAGGTGGATCAAGATTGCACATAAATGCACCACATACATCTAAGGAATAAGAATTTGTTCCAAATACTTGCTGCTTCTCTGGATTAAATTCTAGGACAAGAACAGAAACAAAAGGTCAAAAGAATTGGCTCTGATATACATTTTCAATTTTTTTTTTTTTTTTTTTTTTTTTGTCAAGACATGAGCTAATACAATACTCATTAGTTTTCTCTTACCAAAAGGTTGACAAAGCAAGGTGTCTCTAAACTGACCTTTTGTAACAATGAAGTTTCATCTCATTTCTGTGATTTTGAAACTTGGCAAAAGCTTCAAAATAGCTTCAAAAGATCTATAGCTTATTCAAAGGGATTAAAAACAAAACAAAAAACAAAACAACCTATTACTCTTTAAGAATTTTCCAGAATTTCAGCTTATGGGGACAGTGGTTCAGCTGTTCTTTACTCTAGCCTTGCTTGTGTACTGCTTGTTTCAATAGCTTGTGTTGGATTTAGCAGTATGTTCATGCTGACATGCAGCTTACTAGCATTGTTCTTTGTTTGTTTGCTTATCTGTTTAGTTTGAATTTATTTCTTATCTAGCATAAGTGACCAAACTAACTACAATCTTAATTTTCTCCTACCTGCTACTTTTCACTTTTGTGAGTAGTTGTCCCAATTTCAAACTACAGAAGTCATTCTCCAATATTCCTTATCTAAATCCCATATATTAGTTCCACAATAATTGCAAAGATATTAGAAATTAAAATCTAGAATTGAGAAATACCCTAAACTCTTCTCAGTAATAATCTTTTAAGATCAAATATTTTATTTAAAAAGTGTTTTTATATAGGATTAATTTGTGATCTACTTTGGAGTATACCTATTTCAGTTTTACTGAAATTTTCTTCTGATAGGTACAAAAGTAGACTGAGATTTTGTTTTAATATAGATGATGTAACTTAGGTTCAGAAAAGAAAAAAAACCTCTCTAAAATATCTTAAAATTAAACAGAAGCAGAGAACCATAAAAAAGAAAAAGGAAAGAAAAAAAAAAAAAGTAAAATTTCCACAGTTTGTTATCAATTAAATTCTAATCTAATCTGAGAGGTACAATAGGTAGGAGTCAGATCAGCTTATGTTCACCTCTATTCCTTTTTTTATTTACTGCTTGTATTCTACAATAAATTTTACTGAGATGCTCTTTGTAATTTTTTTATTTTTTTATTTTTTTTTGGGTAGGGAACTGAATGGTGGGTCATACTTAGCATTGACAGCAAAACAGTCTGTCTCCTACTCTGGAGTAAAATGTAATTTTAGAGTAAAATGCAATCTAGAGTTCAAAGAGATTTTGTCATACCTTTGCCCAGACACTAGTCGAAATTTGCTACTGACTGAAACTATGTAAGGCCTTGGGCAACTGTTCTTAACAAAAGCTTTACATTCCTTTTCAAAACAGTATTATGTAATAAAGTTCTAGTAACTGTCTTGTAATTGTGAGTTTATGAGTTTATTTAAAGTAAACTCTATGTCATAGTGATATAAACAGTTTATTTGCTATGCCTTCATATAAAATACTCCTGTCTTTATTATATAACATACTTTCCCCAATAACATACATGACAGTTTTTTAATGCAAAATATATATTTTATTCTCCGTCTGGCTGCAGGGGGGTTTCTGACAGCAAATACAAAAATTATTATTATTATTTATATATAGTTAAAATGCCTTTTCAGTTTTAAAACATTTTTAATATGAAACTAAAGGACAAAAAATACTGAATGAAAAATAATTGCACAAAAATCTCATAAATCTATGAGACAAACTAAGTTGGAACAGGAGCATTTTTTTTATAGTCTGCTACAACAGAGTAGGTACCAACTGGCTTTTAAGTATAAAATAATGAAAGAAAATAAGAAAAGTCCTGAAGCACTATGTAGCTCTAGGGACTATGCAAGGAACAAAAGGTTAAACATTCGGCACAATACTACATTTTCAGCTTAACCATCAAAGCAATTAATTTTCTTACAAATGAGTTTTCTTACAAATCACTGTTTAAATGAAGACCTCAAAACTCAAACAAAAATTAATTTTCTTTTGCATATACACATGCATGAAACAAGTGTATTTTCTCTTCAAAATACATCAGACTATTCCTGGACTTGAATTTATTAGTTTTACTAGGTTTTATGATGTGATATTTAAATTGATCCTGCTTCTTTCTCTCGCATGACCTGTTATATACTCCTGGAAGAGTATCTCTTTGTACTTACATTAGACAGATGCGCTAGTTCTATCTCTAGGAAAGAATCCGTAGTTTTAGGCTCAGGTCGTATAGTAACAACGATGATTTTTGAATTAACAACTGTAAAATTCCTGTGGGGGGAAAAAATAAAAATAAAAGAACATATAAGCATGGAAGATTTAGCTTAATATTGCTTAATGAAGCTGCTGGTATAACGTTCAAGAGTCTCAGTTAATTTCTATTACTTTAGTTGTCAAACATTCATGGAGAAAACATATTTGTTCATAAATGGTAAAAACTGTCACACATTAGGCACCATAACTGACACTATAAAGTCTGACAAGCAATGATGGTGGCAGAAATCACGGTCCTTAAAATACGATTTACTAATTAGAAGGGCACATTGATGGCACTGTCAATGTTTGAGTGAGTATCATTCACTTTTCTCAAAGTAGACCTACTAGTCACATTTTATAGGCAAGAGTCACTTTTCTTTCAGAGTGCTGTGTTGGCCTCTTTTTCTGAATTTTCTGAATTTTAACTAAAGTTAGATGTGTGCAATGGGAGAGCCTACAGTTCTGTTGATTCTGTTCTCATGAAATAAAATACCTGTTTCCAATGTTTGAAAAATCATTGCATTTGATATATGAGTGGGCAACTTCGTCATCTAAATATTTTTAAACTATAATCTGTAGTTTTGCCCCAACTGAAATGCCACCAAAAGCAAACTTTTTTTTTTTTTCTCAGATGTCAGATTAGTTTAGTTTCATGTTATAATATTTTACATATAACTGTATAATACTCTATATAATACAACTGTATCAAATTACAATAATTATATAATGATCACTACATAATAATAATGCAATTATTATATAGTAATATAATAATTATATAATATTATATATAATAATAATATAATACAGTTTGCTCAAAATAATACTTTTCTTTTAAGTTCTCTTATTCATCATCAGTATCTCTTTAGGTTAAACATGAATTAGCTACCTAGATAGGTAGCATATTTCATAGCTACCTATCTAGGACAGAATTAGTATTGTCAAGGTTATGTTAGTACAGGCATATTGACATGACATAATTTTCACGTCTTTGATCCTTGCTTCTTCAGACTGACTTTTTCTGGTGTTCCTTATGATATTTCCTTTGTATATAGTGCTGTTTTCAACACAGGCACACTTTCTTCAATCACATAGAAAGAAGAAAACCTCGCAGAAAGACATATCCATAGGAAGATGATAACAAAGAAGAAACTGGGTAATTTTGATGTAATTATAATGCATTATCAATGTTCTTATATCCATCAATATTCTTATATCCTTTCTTCTTCTTCCTCTTCTTCCTCTTCCTTCTCCTCCTCCTCCTCCTCCTCTTCTTCTTTTCTTCTTCTTCTTCTTCTTCTTCTTCTTCTTCTTCTTCTTCTTCTTCTTCTTCTTCTTCTTCTTCTTCTTCTTCTTCTTCTTTGTCTTCTTCTTCTTCATATCATTTCTTCTTCTCCTTCTTCTTCAAGATAACAAAGTTTGATTAAGTAAAGACTTAGGAAGAATTTCCAGAGCCACTCCTCTAGTGTTTCTTTGTTTGTTTTTCCCAGATATGAATTAATAACAACATTAATAAAATAGAGTTATTTTAGATAGCTGTTTTTTCTGTCAGAGTATATATTCTGAATGTTTTTGTTTGTTTGTTTGTTTGTTTGTTTGTTTTTTTGTTTGCTTGTTTTAGATATATATCAGGGTATACATATTGATTATATCTGAAATTAAATTCAGATTTCCACTTCTTTTAAGAATGACTCTACATTGCTTAAGAAAAAATGAACTTACAAATAAGGCATGTTTCTGTCTCAAGACAACATGAAAGAAACTTTAGTTCAATTTTTTACTATTGTATATGTTACAGAAAAATTACAGATGCTATAGCAGCAGTGCTACAAAGTAATATACTACTACTACTACTACTACTACAATGCTACAAAGTAAATATACTGTTTGAGATACTCCATCCTCAGTCTAACAAACCGCATTGGCTGACCTAGGGAAGATTAAGGGCTTTTTTGGCTCTACAGCATCCAAAGGAGAGTGCTAGGAATGATGTTTCATATGGAGAAAGAGAACATTTCAGTTAATTATAGCAGGAAAAATAAGGTGGTTGTATAACTGGCAGGCAAAAAAAGCTTAGTACAGCAAAATTATTGATAATTTATTTGATCTTATTTGTTGAAGGAAAAGTTAAAAACTATCCTACTATATGGCAATATGCTGTGAATTCCTTCAGAGTGTTCAGGAGAATAATTATAATATTTTAAAATGAGTATTGTACTGAGAATCAATTTTCTTTGAATCTGACAATATTATGTGCATGTTCAAGGATGCAAGAGATATGGAAATAATAGTCTGCAGTGCTCAAAATACTAAATATTTAAACATTAAGAAAATATCTATATGACATTACAAGAAGAGAGCAATACAGAAAAGTAAGTATATTAGGGAATAGAATCATATATAGTTAGTTACTTGTGCATCGAAAGAAAGTAACTATTCTATTTTTCTAAGGAGGGATTTTTTTTAATAAGAAAGTTTTCTAAGGAGGGATTTTTTTTTAGTAAGAAAGTATTTTTTTCTTTCCCTTCCTTAGCATTTTGTGTTAAATAATCCTGACAAATTCTTTGAATAATTTACACATACCAGTTGAATTAATTCCTTTTTTTCAGAAATTTTTTGATTAATGTAATTGCCGAGTTCTCATCTCACACTGTGTTGAGATGAGAACTTTAAGACTTATTGTTAACAGACTCTATGCTAATAAAAACAAGAAAAATTAAGTCCATGTGCTAAAACAGTTAATTTTTGAGGTTATGAAATATATCATATAGTCTGTTTTAGATAATGAAATCCTCATTTTATTCACAGAACACCTATGATGTACCAGATGGGGACTCTGTGACTAGGTGCTTTGAAAGCTTTCCCTTAAAGATACATAATAATATTCTGAGAGGTTTTGTTGTTGTTGTTTGTTTTGTTTTGTTTTGTTTTGTTTTAAGCAAAAATGTTCCTTCTGGTAATGAAGAAGCTTTCTATCTTTGTAGTGCTGTTATTAATGAATGTATGGAAATGTGTTTCCTCTGTTCTTTTCAAAACCACAATAAACAGGTTTCATATAATTAAACATTTATTTTAGTTTCACCCTAACTCCAGCAAAAACTGAGAATAAAGTCCCATGGGAAATCCAGCTTTCTGGATTTTCAACTGTGGCCAGTAGAAATCACCTCTTTTATCACATTGTCAAGGTGTAAATGGCCCTTGAATTCAAACACAAGACCATGTTATTTAATTTACCTTGGTTCATTGTTTTGTTTATCTTTATTCGCACCATTAACAAATTAAGTATCATTTTATTTAGAGTAGTATTAAATGAGATATTTCTCCAAAAATGAGATATTCCTCCTCCAGTTGGAGGCCAGTCACTAGTGGCGTCCCCCAGGGCTTGGTGCTGGGGCCGGTCCTCTTTAACATCTTCATCAATGATCTGGACGAGGGCATTGAGTGCACCCTCAGTAAGTTTGCAGATGACACCAAGTTAGGTGCGTGTGTCGATCTGCTCGAGGGTAGGAAGGCTCTGCAGGAGGATCTGGATAGGCTGCACCGATGGGCTGAGGTCAACTGCATGAAGTTCAACAAGGCCAAGTGCCGGGTCCTGCACCTGGGGCGCAATAACCCCAAGCAGAGCTACAGGCTGGGAGACGAGTGGTTGGAGAGCTGTCAGGCAGAGAAGGACCTGGGAGTGATGGTGGACAGTCGGCTGAATATGAGACAGCAGTGTGCTCAGGTGGCCAAGAAGGCCAACGGCATCCTGGCTTGTATCAGAAACAGCGTGACCAGCAGGGCTAGGGAGGTGATCGTCCCCCTGTACTCGGCTCTGGTGAGGCCACACCTCGAGTACTGTGTTCAGTTTTGGGCCCCTCGCTACAAGAAGGACATCGAGGTGCTTGAGCGGGTCCAGAGAAGGGCGACGAAGCTGGTGAGGGGCCTGGAGAACAAGTCCTGCGAGGAGCGGCTGAGGGAGCTGGGCTTGTTCAGCCTGGAAAAGAGGAGGCTCAGGGGCGACCTTATCACTCTCTACAGATACCTTAAAGGAGGCTGTAGAGAGGTGGGGGTTGGCCTGTTCTCCCACGTGCCTGGTGACAGGACGAGGGGGAATGGGCTAAAGTTGCGCCAGGGGAGTTTTAGGTTAGATGTTAGGAAGAACTTTACTGAAAGGGTTGTTAGTCATTGGAACAGGCTGCCCAGGGAGGTGGTGGAGTCACCATCCCTGGAAGTCTTCAAAAGACGTTTAGATGTAGAGCTTAGGGATATGGTTTAGTGGGGACTGTTAGTGTTAGGTTAGAGGTTGGACTCGATGATCTTGAGGTCTCTTCCAACCTAGAAATTCTGTGATTCTGTGATTCCAAAATGTTTTTTTTGTTTGTTTTAAATTTTCACATTGTGTATGGCTACCACGCTTTTACACATCATATAAAAACTAGATGTCACCTCCCTTCAAATTTTACAGTATTTGCCTCATACATTTTTCTGAAGGGTCTAATAGTGCAACAAATTCAGCACTAAACATAGTTACAACTTTTTTCTAATTCAGATTTATACCTGAATAAACATTGAAATGGTTTGAATTGCTTGGAACTTTACAGCATTTGAGGTACAATTTTAAGGTCATGAGATCAAATTTTGAATATGATCACCATAGGCAAAGGAATCCAGCATGATACACTTTCCAGTGAAGTATGAGATGTAAGCTGTAGAAGTTTCAGTATAATTTCATTATAAATAGAAGTGGAGGGAAGTACTGAGGTGCTATAATCCTAACAAAGATGAGACTACCAGTACCCAGGAATATGGGTTGTATTTTTATATTACAGATTGATCACGACATTTATTCCATATTCAAGAGAAAGTAATAGTGCTTCTTTCATTTTCTTGGGCCTCTGAGAATTAGATTAAAATAATACTGAAGATATTCAGAGGCAAGTAGGATATCTTCATATTTAAATTTCTAAAGACTTCATTTATGAATAGATACACATAGTATTAGACCATTTTGCTTTAGAAGCTCACAAAACCTCTCTATGAACTAAATTGTACAGGGAAATGGTCAATTTTGTTGTGGAAATCAGCAAGCAGATGAAAGTAGAACAGATAAAAACAACAAATTGGGAACTGAGATGAAAATTTCCGAAGTCCATAGTACTTAAGTAGCTGTAACTTTATGTCCCTGTTCTGCCCCTACTTCTTCTACTTGGGATACTATTGATTCTAGTGAAAATGTAGTAAGGCCTATAAATCTCAGTTTTCTAATAGATGAAATAAATGTATTTAACAACTGTTCATATGAACAAATATATAGCATTCAAAAGATCACACTTGCTTTCTGTAAATTAAAACTGTTGTCCTTTGTGAACTGAAGATGCGTGATCGTAGATTGGGGTTTGAAGGGTACATGGCAACCTCAATTCTTTCCTAGGTTTAGCAGATGGTCACTAATATCAGACAAAAAGGGCTAAATATGATAGCGATTTGGATCTGTTTATCTGAATAAGGGAGAAGACTTCTCCCACAGAAAATCTCTCACAAACATCACTTTCCTCCTGGCTAATTTCAGGAACTGGCACAGCAAATGGAAAGTGCTTACTGACATCTCAGAAGTAGATGAGCTGTCATTTACACCATGCCCTAGGCATAGATGGCTCTCTCCAGCCCTCCCCAGGCTGCCAGGTGTCCTGCCAAGACATCACTGTTCATATTGAGCTTTACCTGAGAAAGATTTCTATCCCCAGCACTGCAGCTCATCACTGCGCAGCACATTGCACCTTTACTGGGAAGGTTTGTTTCTTTTTTACTTTTTTTTTTTTTTTTTTTTTTTCATTTCTTTTGCTGAGTCTTTTTACTTCAAATGGAGTTTGACAAAAAAACTTTTGTTTTTTCATCCTTTGTTTCAGCTCATGAAGTTTTGGTGAAATAGAGTAGGAAAGATGATCCAGTGATTTTCTAATTATTATATTTTCTATTGTGAGTTCAGTAACAGTGATTGTATTGCGATGCAATATGCACCAGTTTATTTTACTGTAAAAAAATAAAAATAAAAAAAATAAAAGACCAACTATCATGTGAAATAAGATACTAGTCATGAAACATGAAATGATCTTAACCAGTAATTGAGAAAGGGGGAAATGTTTATTTCCAAATTGTCTGTCAGAAAGTACAGAATGGACAAAGTGAAACAGGAGACCTTCCTATTTCCCTATCTATGTGCATAGACCTCCCAACCACTGTCACATGCATGTCTTATTTCTAAAATGGATCCTCACTATAACTCTCTTGTTCCTTCTGAATACAACTTCTACTGAAAATGTACTTGGCATGTACTAGTAGTGACCTCTGTAGAACTGGTGCAGAGATGCTTAGTACATCAAGGCATTATGCTGTTGCTAGATCACTTGTACTGACCAGATCAACAACAGTTTGAAACACAGTTATATGTGGCATTAACTTCTGTCAGCGTGCATACTTTGAAAGGAACATTTCCTTATTTAAGCTTAATGCAGAATATATAAAATATAAATTAAAACAATTTAATAAAAAAGCTATTTCCATCATACTAATGAGTAAGCATGAAGGAAACAAAAATGTATGCATATTTTATGTAACATGTACAAATACATATATTAAATAACTGTGGAAAAAAATCTGTCATTGCCTTTACACAATTGATTTGATTGTTTGCTTTCATCCTGACATGTAGTGTAGTTATGATGCTGAAACAGATTAATTAATGTATGTCGTGGCTTAACCCGGCCAGCACTAAACACCACACAGCTGTTTGCTCACCCTCCCTCCTTTTTGGTAAAGGAGTATTTATGGTAAAGGAGTTTCTTACCTCAAAGTGGGCAAAATGAGTTCTAAATTTTTGTACAGCACTGCTCCAAGTACAAATACAGTTGATTCATCTAGTTCTAGAAAGAGTAAGAAAAAAGTTTTTAAAACTCTTTCTCCCAAGGCTTGCTCAGCCTAAAAAACTGAATACCATTTATCATTCCAGTGGAAATTTCATTTTAAATAAACTATCATCATCATTTTGAGTTATAACCTGGAACTCTGTCACGAAGATGTAGTACTTTCAGGAATACATCAAAATATTTAAACACTGAAAATCACATTTTCAAAAATCCATCACTATGGAATGACATCCATGACATCCATGCCAGTTCATCTACCTTTATAATGAAGTATCCTTAAAGACTGTCTTTAGCTTTTAATGAGTAGCAAGTAAATTTTCTGAAGCTACAGATCTGTACTGCAATGGCATTAGTAATTTGGATCTGAAGATGGGGTAATTTGCCTGCTGAGCAAAATTTGGGTAACTAACCTTTGGTAAAAGTTAGGTTATCTTTTGGAATGACACAGTCTTCCAGGATGGAGAAGCATCAGGAGGTTCAGTAGAGCTGTGCTTCAGGCCACCTCATACCACCATAGGTATAGTGTCTTGGATTTCTTTAACACTTTTTGTTCAAGATACTGAAATAAAGCCCCATCCTCTCTCTGGGATAAATTGTGGGTACAGTCTTTCTTTTAAAGAGAAATAAAATAACCAATTCCATATTATATAGTAGTCCTGTGAGACAAATATTCTGAGTTTCCTTGTTAAAGCCAACACAAAATTAAAGTACTGATATGCTTTACCTGTTGACATAGGGGTGAAGATATTTTTTGGAATGACAACCCTGTCTTCTGAATTTCGTGCCCAATCAACCATTCCTTTTCTTCCTTTCATGGGGAAATTGATGTCAGTTAGAACCGATGCAGCAGGAAGCTTCTGAATGCTAGCCACTAGTAAGAGAAATCACAAAATTAAATAAATTGAGTTTCATGCTTTAAACCATCATACAGCGATAACAGTACATTGATAAAAAAAAAAAAAAAAAAAAAAAAAAAAGGTTTAATAATAAATTTCAAGTAGAGCAGAAATTTATAGGACATCAACCAGCAGTGAAAGTGTCATCTTCTGTTTATTATGCAGTCCTACAATGGATTAATTATGTGGCATTGATCCTATCACTTGTCAGCCAGACAAGTTAACCAGAATCCGGTTAACTCTCTTAACATGTATTTTTGAATGAACTAGTTTATACCCTGAAATTCACACATAAGGAATTGTATCTTCAAAGTAAATTCTAAAATGATTAAATGTGACAGTAAAAGGAGGATGCTGCAAATTGCTTTGGGAAACATAACTGCTAGATGCAGACTAATGAAGCAATAACAGAGCTTTTATTCCCTACACAGGCACAATTTCAAGATAGATCCATTCAAGAGATTCACATATTAAAAGACCTAATTGTTTCTACACAAATGAGAATAATGCAGTACAGCACATGATTTCTTCTCCTTGAAAGAATAATTCCCATTTTGAAATCTTAATTATATTTTTTCATCTAAAAAAAACCCAAAACTCCCCCAAAACATTACTATTATATCTGTAACAGATATGGAAAGAAGAAAGAGGTATTAAATCCTATAATAGGCAGTCTGGAATTTTGTTTACTCATTCTCATTTTCTTTCTGTTTTATAACTCAACTGATATCTGGAAATCATTTTTAGCTTTGTTGTGAAATCTAAGTACAGACTCCATGGCAACACTGGCAGTGTCTACCAAGACTCAAACCACTTTTAAGGAACTGTCAGGGCTGCAAGTATTTACATACACTTAGAGAAATGACAAACAACACATTTGGAGCACTAGTTCCATTCTTAATGTAAGCCATGTTGATAATCATTTCCTGTGCAATGCTCTTCCTAATCAATTTATGATGAAGCTAATGTAGTTGGAAGAGTTTGGATATCAGGACTGTACTTTGATCTGTGTGATGATTTCACTTCCAGGACTACACCAGGGAGCTAAACATAAAGACAATGTGGACAACTATAAAAGCAATCAGAAGAGCAAAATTAAAGTAGAAAAACATTAGGTGTCTCATCAGTGGATTTTATTTGAAAGAAAACTGTAATTCAAAACCAAGAAATGAGGAAAATTAAGTTAACAACATTAGCTCTACAAATGTATTCCCTGATAACTGACGCTTAGTTCCAAATTAGACTGGTTATGCATTATAGAATCACATTGGTGAGGTGGTACTTGAGGTTATTTCAGGCTTTCCATTATAAAACTATCATCAGAGCTTTACAATTCTAGTTACAATCCCCTCTGGGCTGAAATTGGCAAGTACATTCCCTACCCTAAAGGGATGCTTAGTCTTGTGAAATTTCAGGTGCTGTGTGGTGGGAGAAGAGTTCAGGTTTTTCTGAATTACTGGATCATAAAATGAATTACTTTCACATGCACACATGCAATCAGTGGATATACAGAATATATTAACATTGTAAAAATTAACTTTTTTTTTCCCCTATGTTTTAAATAGGGACATTCATCATGGTATCTAAGCACTACTCAGAACCAAAGATTACAAAATATTTGTGATAAATATCACAAAATATCATCACAAGACATAAACATATTTATATCTTTATCTATTTCATCTATCTATATTGTCTCTCTATATAGACATATATTCCCATTCATGGTTCAGAAAAGATTTTCTTCTACTCACAAACAGAAACCAAGAAAACAAAAGTGTCTGTAATTATTTTCACAGAAGACGGCACCTTTACATCCTGGAGATCTGGGCTTTTTGCATAGATAGAGAGTGCACACAGCACACTTAAAACAGTAATCGAAAGCGGTTTGCCAAAATGCTTTTTTTGTGGATTACTAAGACTGCCTCTACAGAGCCATGTAGATCACTAGGCCATTCTTTAGACACTTTGCTGAATGATTCTAATAACATGTGCCTAGTAATTTCATATAAGGCACTAACCTTTGTAAGGTAATTTACTGTACTCTAAGTAGAAGCAACTAATTCAGCCCATCATAACATGGCCAGGTGTATACATGAAACAACATCATCTCTTGGGTGTCACTGTGAATAGCATTTTAGTTTTAAAAGAAAGCTAATACTATTAAAGATTAATCTAAATCTCATCTCAGAGAGATCTTGAAGCATGACCAGATATATTTCCATTGTAAAAAGTGGATTTGCTGTTCTCAAACTCTGTCTAAACACTAGGAAACACCTTACTGTTCAGGTGGCTGAGCACTAGAACAGGTTGCCTAGAGAGGTTGCAGAGAATCCCTGCTTGGAGATCTTCAAAATTCATCTGGACATGGTCCTGGGCTACCTGCTATAGGTGTCCCTGCTTGAGCAGGGGGTTGGACCAGACAACGTACAGTGGACCCTGCCAACCTCAACCATTCAGTGATTCTGTAACTCAGTTTTAATCCGCAATATGAAAATTGTTTACTTTGTTGTGAGCATAAAAAATCAATAAGCCTTAAGCCTTTTAGAGGAGAATGTTTATAACTCGGGTGCCAGGTCATTTGCATATCAGCAGCTCAAATGTTAGTTTCTTCTACAATTGTTATACAGATACATTAGACAGAATGACATCATTCACTTTGAACTTCATTGTTCCCTTTTTATGTAAGATTTGTATTAGAAAATGATGCTCCAAATGCTTGGACCTAAATGATTCAGGTCTGCAGTTACCACACAAGTACCTTTTTCTTCTCATTTTTGGAAAAAACAAAAGTAGCACTTTTTTTTTTCTTTTCATTTTAGATCACTTTACCAAAATGTAATGCCCTGAATTTGTGAGAACACTAGCCAATGAGGATATTTACAGGCACTATAGGAGGCCAAATTTTGGCCAAATTTTGCTTGTTTATTACACATGGAAGTTGTATAATACTGGAAATAACATTGATGAGAATATTAGTAAGAATGAAATAGTAAAATGTACAACAACAAAAAAAAAAAAGAAAAAGAAAAAAGAGAAGAAAAAGGAAATAAAAAATGAAAATGGTCTAAGTAGAAAGTAAATAACATTTGCATGTGCCATTCTGAGTAAAAGAAGTTTAAATACAAAAATGTCCCACATATATCATATACAGCATCCATTATTCTCTCAACTACAAAGATATTTCAGTTAATGATATAATTTCTAATCTAATTCTTCTATTCTAATTTGACTATGTTGTTGAACTGTTTATGTTGAAGACTTAATTCTGAGAAGTATTGTCACTGACACTTCCCAGACTATTCTTACAGCTTACATGTCTTGTCATCAAATCTGATACCGCATTACAATAATGAAAATTCTCTTCCTTTTTTATTTGTATTACGACAATTCGTATGATATTTCAGGTATAGCTCACAAAACAAAATTAAACAAAACAAAAAATAAAAGAAAATACAGTGCTTGCACTAACTGGGAGAAATTGAGTTGATGTAACAAGAAATAAAGCCACCCACAGACTTTTGGTGGTGGAAGATATAGAACCAGTAGAGAAACTTATTTCAGAGTAGAATATATTGCATTCTTTCATTTTTTTTTGGACATTCTATCTTGTTTTGGCTCCTGTGTACCTTCAATTACAATTGTAATATTCGTTCCAAGGTTAAAAATAAAGAAGCAGGAAAAAGGAATTTCATTCAGGGTATACATGTATATTTAATATTTGAAGAATTTAGGAAGTAAAATATAATGGGTGTATTCAAAAAGCAACACAACCTTACTTCTTAATATTTAAGGTGAAATTTATACAGCTTAGACAGAAGAAAACCTAGCCTAGAAATAATCAGGAAGACAGGTGAAATAGCCAGGCTTTTAGAATTTTTGAGTATTCATTTGATGCACATTGGTACAAACTATAAGACAGTTGTTCAATTAAACAGAAGAACACATACGCATTTGATGATTCCATAATAATTACTGTTTCAGAAAAATCTCTTTAAGTAGTTTAGTCTAATCAATTTAGGGATTGCTTTGACCCTTAATTGATTCCTTTGAATATCCCTTACAAATGAATCTCCATTTACCTTTAATCCATTTTCATGCTACAGTTGCAGACAAGCTTTTCAACAGCTCTACTGAAAATTTCAGAATAGGCTAATACTAACAGTTCTTACATGCTGAGTAAAGTAAAATCTCTTTGGAATTGATTAATGATTGCTTATAGGAATGGAAAATTTCCTATGACTATCCAAAAAAAAGCTGATTATACGAATTATACTTGAACAATATTTAAGTTGCTTATTTAAAGCAGCGTGAAAGGGGTTAATTAATGTGTCAAGAAAATTCTGAGTGAAATAAAAATTGTGTAGTTCTTATATGCAAGTCCTTGTAGATAATGGTCTAGAACACAAGAGCTGAAATGTATTGCTATGATCCCTATAACTGTGAATGAGTTAAAAGCTGCCTAGTGTATCTTCTAGTGTCTGTCTACTCATCTGGACTGATAAATAACAAAAGATAAAGAAACCAAATAAACAGCATGAATCATCTTCCCTTTTCTTTCCCACACATCCATTAGCCTCCTCTCTTGAAAAACAAAACAAAACAAAACAAAAACACATTTCAGAATATCCCCTGTGAATAATATTAATCACTTTAGAAGAGGAAATCAGGTTCATTGAAAAGCATAAAAGAAAAATGACTGGATGTTTGCTCATGGACTAAATGCAATTTATCTTTCATAGTGAAGATTTAGGTTTTAAAAATGTATCTCAATCTAAATTAAATATTTTAACCCTATCCTTATCAAAGATGGAACCTAAATTCTAATTTTACCTGTAGAAGTGATGCTCAAAATCTGAGCCTTAATTCTGTAGCATTCATGTATTTACAAAAGATGATAAAACACTGGGTCAGACTCTCTCTTCTCTAATTAGTGATAACATTTTGGCATTGTTCTGCTTTACAGCACAGTAGC